TGGTTGGGTGCCCGGAGCCTCCCCACCGTGTTTTTGGGCGTCTGGGTGAGGAGGCTATGGAACTTGGGGAGGAGGGATGGTGGTTAAACAGGGGCTGCAGCGGCAGTCTGTGATCCTGCTGCCGTTCCTGAACCTCCACCAGACGCCGGAGCATGTCCATTTGATTCCGCAGTAGCCCCAGCATTGCATCATGCCTCCTCTGATCTTCCTGCCGCCACCTTTCCTCATGTTCATTGGCTGCTTTCCTCTACTCTGCTATTGTGTCCCTCCACACATTCTGCTGAGCTCTGTCAGTGCCGGACGACTGCATGAGCTCAGAGAACATTTCATCGCATGTGCGTTTTTTTCGCCACCTTATCTGAGATAGCCTTTGGGACGGAGGAGGGAGGCTTGAATCATTTGCAGCTGCTGGAGGAAAAAAAAGGGAGTGAATATTTTGTGACAGGGTCAGGCCAGATGGCTACAGGAGAGTGATAGAAGGCAGATATATTAGCCCCAGGTTAAGTAGGTCCCTTTTCCCTGGGTAAGGTAACAGGGAAGGTTCCAGAGCAATCAGGAATTTTCTGGAAACAATTAAGGCAGACAGGCTGATTAGAACACCTTCAGCCAATCAAGAAGCTGCTAGACTCAATTAAGGCAGGCTAATACGGGCACCTGAGTTTAAAAAGGAGCTCACTTCAGTTTGTGGTGTGTGCAAGGAGCTGGGAGCAAGGGGTGCAAGAAGCTGAGAGTGAGAAGGCATACTACTGGAAGACTGATAAGTACAAGCATTATCAGACATCAGGAGGAAGGTCCTGTGGTGAGAATAAAGAAGATGTTGGGAGGAGACCATGGGGAAGTAGCCCAGGGAGTAGTTGCTGTCATGCACTGTAGACAGCTGCAATCCACAGGGCCCTGGGCTGGAACCCGGAGTAGAGGGCGGGCCCGGGTTCCCTCCATCCCTCCAACTCCCTACTTGATCCTGGAGGAGTTGACCTGGACCGTGGGTTCCACCAGAGGGGAAGGTCTCTGGGCTGTTCCCCAATCCACTAGGTGGATCAGCAGAGACTGCAGCCAAACTGAGGGCTGCTGTGAACCTCTGAGGCAAGCAAATCCGCCAATAAGCGAAGGACCCACCAAGGCAGAGGAGGAACTTTTTCACAATTTAAAAGCATACATTTTACAGAACAATGGCTATACTCTTACACGGTGAACAATACTATTCACATTAAAGGTCACATTTTGCATCTTATATTGAGTGTCTGTGGCTTTGGTGTTAGAGATCACACACGCAGTGCCGGGCAACAGAATTCGGCTTGCAGGTGGCCATGGTAAGCCATAGCCTTTTGGCTTCTGCAACCTTCATAACAGCAGCGCTCTCCTCTCCCATACCAAGCAAAGCACGTTGAGTTGGCCATTTAGTGCTGCAGTTTTCCTGTTAACGTGCAGCAGCAGAAACCAAACTAACCCGCCAGCATCCAGTTCTCTGAGATGATTGCTTTACCCCTCCCCACACCGTGTGGTTGGTGTCAGGGAAGATCCCTGCTAGCCAAACGCAAACAGCTCAGCGCCAATGCCCCTCACCTCCCACCGCGTGGCTAACTGCGGGGAGGATTTCTTTTCAGCCGCAGGCAAACAGCCCAGTAGAAACGGCCACCTCTGAATGTCTCCTTAATTAAATTCCCCTATTTCAAGCAGGTTACCATGAACGATATCACTCTCCTGAGGATAACACAGAGAGATAAAGAACGGATGTTGCTTGAATGCCAGCAAACACTGGGACCATACCCTGCCAGGCTTTGTCATGCAATGATACCAGATTACTTGCTACTAGTATGGCATGGTAAAGTATCCTACCCTGGAGGACGGAATAAGGCTGCTCTCCCCAGAAACCTTCTGCAAAGGCTTTTAGAGTACCTCCAGGAGAGCTTCATGGAAATGTCCCTGGAGAATTTCCGCTCCATCCCCAGACACGTTAACAGACTTTTCCAGTAGTTGTACTGGCCATGAATGCATCCCAAGTCCTCAGGGCTGATTAATCATTAAAAAATGCTTGCTTTTATAAAATGTATTATATTTTAAAAGGTACACTCACCAGAGGTCCCTTCTCTGGCTTCGTTGGATTGGGAGGGTATTTCAGTCAGGGTGATAAAAAGATCCTGGCTGTCGGGGAGAATGGTGTGCTGTGTGCTCTCCTCAAGCTCGTCCTCCTCATCTTCCCAGTCCACAAAATCCTCAGGCATGGCAGAGTGTAATCCATCTTCGGAGTCCACGGACAGGGGTGGGGCAGTGGTTGCAGCCCCCCCCCCCCCCCAGAATTGCATGCAGCTCAGCATAGAAGCGGCATGTCTGAGGCTCTGTCCCGGAGCATCCGTTTGATTCTTTGGTTTTCTGATACACTTGTCTGAGCTCCTTAAGTTTCACGTGGCACTGTATTGTGTCCCTGCTGTAGCCTCTGTCCCTCATGGCCTCTGAGATTTTTTGAAATGTTTTGGCATTTAGTCTTGTGGAATGTAGTTCTGATAGCATGGATTCCTCTCCTCATACAGCGATCAGATCTAGTACCTCCCGTTCAGTCCATGCTGGAGCTCTTTTTTGATTCTGGGACTGCATGGTTACCTGTGCTGATGAGCTCGCCTGGCCAAACAGGAAATGCGATTCAAAAGTTCCCGGGGCTTTCCCTGTACACCTGGCCAGTGCATCAGAGTTCAGAGTGCTGTCCAGAGCGGTCACAATGGTGTACTGTGGGATAGCTCCCGGAGGCCAATACCTTCGAATTGCGTCCACACTAACCCTAATTCGAAAGGGCAATGTCGATTTCAGCGCTAAACCCCTCGTTGGAAAGGAGTACAGAAATCGGTTTTAAGAGCCCTTTATATTGAAAAAAGTGGCTTCATTGCGTGGACGGGTGCAGGGTTAATTCAATTTAACCCTGCTAAATCGGACATAAACTCGTACTGTAGATCCTGAGGAGCAAGAAGTAACACAACAGAGTATGCAAGAAGCAGAGATTTGGGAATCCATGCCCGGGGGTGCAAAGGGAGGCCAGTGTTTTGGGAACTTGCCTGTTCCCTTGTATTAAAAAAGCCAGACATTTCAATATTACCTTTCCTTTTGGGACTTCTAAGGAGGCATTACAGCATAATTGGCACTGACAAAATACGAATTGTTAATACCAACATCATGTCTGTCCTCCTTTATGGAGCAGAGTCACAGAAATCTACCTCAGAAATTAATAAGATCAATTCATTCCAAAGTAAATGAAAGAGCCTAAGAGTCCATTGGAAAGAGGTTTTGCAACATCAGAAATTCTAAGTAGAGCAAACCAATCTAAACCATCAAATATAATAAGACAACAACAATGAACATTGTTAGGACGTAAGGATACCACGAATGCAACTGACACAGAAAGTGATAATATGGACAAGCCTTGGAGATAGAAGGAGAGCAACCTAAAGAAACATTACACAGAACAGTAGAGAAAGGAGCTAAATCCATCAACATGACACTCAGAAGCCTGAACACACAAGACCAGAATAAATTATGGAAACTGGTGGACGCCCTACACACCTGAGGGGGTGGGAAGATAAAGATAATGACGATTCCAGCCCTGCTGTGCTAGACATCCACTTTTATTATACAGCACCCAATCGCACCCTCCGCTCTTCATCATTCATTCTAATAGCAGCTGCTGAGTTCCCCTGCCCATTAAAACACCCACACAAGAGTTAATCTGTATGTGCAGTCATCACAAGGCATTGCTCTCAGGTGGCTGCCCAGGGTCATGGAGGCTACCACCATTAATAACAGGGGGAGTGATCTACAGGCATTCTGCTTCCCTGCGGAGGTGTGTCAGAAACGAACTCACCTCTGCTCTTTTGTCTGTGCATCTCCACTCTATGGGACAATAGGGCGAGGGACATGCTCAGTAACTCGCTGAAATGCTCATGAAAACCCCTTCAAAGGTTGCCTGAAAGGTGATCTGCAAAGAAAAATGAGTTCAGCTGCTTTTTGATTGCTTCTTTATGGCTGATTTAAGAAGAGGCTGAAAGAGGCGTATTAAAAAATAATCATCCTTGAGCACTAGAAATTCACATCCTAGTTAAGTGGAGAATTAGCAAAAGGGTGATATCAGAAGAGCCAAGAGAGAGGAAGCTGAGCAATTGAAAGGGGAAGTGATTTCTATCTGGACTGTTTGTTTTCACTAATATCCATCTAACTTCAATGCCTACGTAAGCTTTTTGAATGAAGAAAGCCTTTGTTAAAGACTTGACACCCACATATACAAGTGCACAAGCCCCATTTAAAAAACTCCATTGCAGGTCACCTTTAATATTGGAACAGGAGAAAAGAATGTATCCCACAACTGTACTATGGGGAGCAGCATGGACCAAGAGCTCAGCCAGAGAGTACATAGGAATTGCCAGAGCAGACCCAAAGGCCATCGAGCCCAGTGTCTGCTCTCTGACTGTAGCCACCACCAGAGCTGTTGGAGGAAGAGGCACAAAATCCCAGAGTGGGCACTTCTGGAATAATTTCCCTGTATCAACATGTTGCCTCATCCAGCATCAGATCCTGCCTCAGCCTCTGTTTCTCTCCTTGCCCAGGAAACCAAACCTCCATAACTGGCACTATTGTAGCCTTTTATTCTATTTAATGTTAATTGTATCTAAGTGGGTTCGGCTCTGGCGGCTACAGTCCCAAGTTCAACAGAGTTACCTCTGTTTGTTCTAAATTTAGAGTTCATAGGAACACATGAAACCATAGGCAAATAACACATACAATTACAAGAGCATCTGGGATCTTTTAGTAATTTTATTAAAGTTAACAACAAAGCTATAAGTGTCACAGCATATACAATTCCTATAGACACATACGGTGAACTAGTTATACCTACAGACATACTCACATCCTCCTAGATGGTGTTAGAGTCTGTTGGCCCTCTCATGGATTGACCATCAATATGGGAGTGGTTCCTGCTGGAGTTTCCCATAGGAAGCCCAATTTCCCTGCTCTGGGCACCCCTTTTTATACTATGAGTCTTTCTATACCTACATTCTGCACACGTACATGAAAGTGTCAACCCTTGCTTTCTTATTGGTTTGTGTCCCCTGGAAACACAAGGGACCCCAAATTCTATAGGCTGGGTAGGTTCTTGTCAACATTGACGTACCACCTTTGTCTTAGGTTAGGGCACATGTAAGAGACAATATTTGTTGTTACAGGATTTTATGATTTAATTTTAATCTTCCCTGCTATACTTTTGCAATATTACTGGTTAGTACCTCTTTCCCACCATCTTTTCAGTTATTTCTCAGTCATTGTCTTGAGACGTCATTTCTTGTCTCTAAGGCCTAAAATACCTAAGCTAGAGTCCTGCAGGCCTTGGCCTACAGGCTTTTGCATTTCAGCTTGTCTTAGTCATGTCTACTACATAGTTCCTCTAAACACTGATTAATCTTATACTTCTATAATCCTACAAATAAACTCTAATTAACATACAGTGAATATATGTAACATAACATTGATTAATCATAACATCACATGATAAATGGATACTAAACTAAAATCATTGGCTACACTATTGAAGTGCTCTCTCTTTCTGAGATGTGGTTTATTAGCCCAAAGTTAGCATTGCCTCGCCTTCTCTGGCTCAGCAGTCCTGCTTAAGGGTTTTGCCCCCTGCAGGTAGCTCCAGCCAGGCCTTTCCCTCAGGCTGCTAGTGATAACTTCTTCTCTGTTCCTCCCTGACACCGGAGCTCCTGCAGATGCCTCCCTGAAGATTTCTCTCTCCTCTTTATCCTCATATCAGAACATTAGGCCTCAGCACATGCTCTCTACACTTCTCTGATCTCACTGCCAGACCCACTCTGGGGCTCCCCATGCTTGTCTTAGTCTCTGGTGTCTCGCTTCACTCTCTGGGGGACCAGGTTCCCAGGAAGCCCCAGTTCAAGGCTCCCATCACATGAAGTCTGGCTGCCTGACCTAATCCCATCACCTAGATGGCAGAAGACTAGATACAAGTGGGACTGACTCCAAATCCTCCTAAAGTACAGCCCACACTGTGACATTGCCCGGTGGGGAAGTTTTTTTTCAACCCCCATCAGGCAGTGGTTGGTTTTAAAGCCTGAAGTATCAAGGTTATTTTTATTATTTTAAAATGTAAGTGTTAAATCCTATTATAACTCTGGATGTTCTCATCATCCACATACATCTCCAGCCCTTTTCTTGACTCCTGCTAATCTCTTGGCCTCAACAATATCTTGTGGCAATGAGTTCCACAGGCTAATTGTGGGTTCTGTCACCATAACATTTCCTTCCATCAGTTTTAAATGTGCTGCTTAGAGTATTAAGCAGGCATCTCTTGGACTTTTATAAATAAAAGGGAATAAAAAATATAATTTCATCTTCATTGTGTGGTTTTTCTGTACAGTGAGATCAAATGGAATATGCAGGGAAGGTAGGCGTGGTTTGGCAGCTGTAGTATCTGAACAAATCAAGTGACAAAGGCAATGAGTAAAGTGCATATCAGAAGTTTATTCCTCTGCACAAACAAGTGTAAAGTGACTGTAAGTCAAAAACACAAAAGAAAACTATTTCCATACATATAGAAGCCAAACTTGGTTCTCCTTCCAGGGTCACTACCCCTCAGTTCTTTCCCCTCTCTGAACACTGACAAATTTCTTCCCAGGAGCACAGGGGAATTGCTAGACCCTTCAGGAGGAGGGGAGCAAAATCTAGCTAGGGAACAATCCTTGGTTGTACCGGACTAGTGTGTGATAAACAAAGGGGAAAACAAAAGGGAGCATTCCTACAGGTGTCCCTAGTGCGGTGGTGCCTAGGCCAGGGGTGTGTGGAAGTGACAGGGAGATGACACTGCTTACCTTCAGGGCACAGCTAACAACATCTCAGTTGTTATCCATCAAGAGCAGCTACAAACCCCATTGCCACCCCCTCCCCAAACCCCTCTTCAGGGGGCTATGTCCTCCAGTTATCTAGTCCCAAATACTCCTGCTATGGAGAGAGAGGGGGCGCTGAATCCCACGGGAGAACAGACCTGCTCTGCTGCAGGCGATGGGTTATCTGTAGGGCCCTACCAAATTCACAGTCATGAAAAACGCGTCACAGACCATGAAATCTGGTCTTTTGTTTGCTTTTACCCAATACTATACAGATTTCACAGGGGAGACCAGTGTTTCTCAAATTGGGGGTCCTGCCCAAAAGGGAGTTGCATGGGGAGTCATAAGGTTATTTTATGGGGGTTGCAGTATTGCCACCCTTACTTCTGTGCTGCCTTCAGAGCTAGGCAGCCGGAGAGCAGCAGCTGTTGGCTGGGCATCCAGCTCTGAAGGCAGCCCCCACCCAGCAGCAGAGCAGAAGTAAGGGTGGCGATACCACACCAGGCCATCCTTATTTCTGTGCTGCTGCTGGTGGCGGCGCTGCCTTCACAGAGCTGGGCTCCTGGCCAGCAGCTGCCACTTTCCAGCTGCCCAGCTCTGAAGGCAGCGCCGCCAGCAGCAATGCAGAAGTAAGGGTAGCAGCACCGCAACCCCCCGACAACTCCTTTTTGGGTCAGGACCCCTAAAATTACAACACCATGACATTTCAGATTTAAATAATGGAAATAATGAAATTTATGATTTTTTAAATCCTATGACCGTGAAATTGACCACAATGGACCATGAATTTGGTAGGGCCCTAGTTATCTGTAGGCGGGAACCCCTGCATCCTTGTTTGGAAGCCTGTCCTCGGCCTATCCTCACTTTCCCACTGGCACACACAGCTGTTCCCTAGTCTTGTTCCCGCTCTCCTATCATCAAGACTCAGGGGAGGAGAATGGGGAGCAGCTGCGATGGCCAAAGGCAGTTGCTTCTTCTTACCAGACTCATATGTGACATCTCCACCTCAGCCAGCCCATTAGCTCACAGCTTCTGGTCAGAGCCACCAGCGCTAGGCATAAACAGACTAAGCAATTGCTTAGGGCCCAAAGCAGCTCAAGGGGGCTCCCTATTCCCTTTTTATTATGTGTTGGGGGGCACAAATATTCCTGCTTAGGGCCCCCAATGGGCTAGTACTATCTCTGCTGGTGGATGCTACAGTGGGCTCTCCTATCCCGAATACAGGAAGACCTAAATAGCTTTCCCATCTTGCAATCCCTGTAATTTTGTAACCTACAAACATGCTAGAGAGAGAAGGGGAAACCATGGGCATCTATAAAATGGACCCCCCACTTCGTATCCAAATGCTCAGTGAGGGTTGGGCCTGTCTCTTTAGCATGGTGGCAGCCTGGAACTTTACACAAACTTTCTGCCTAAATACCCAGCATCTCTAACAACTGGTGAATTTTACAATGAAGCTAGGCTCCAGGCAGAAGTCACAGGGACTGGCCCTCTGAGGGGTCAGGCACCAGCCTCCTACAACAAACTCCACTGAGGAGAATAAGCCAACCCAGATCCACCTAGGGCTGGTTAATGAGATGATTAGCTGGGTGTTATTAATTTATGAAGGGGGCACTCCTAACCCTTGCAGGCCTCGGTGTCTGGGTAGTAATTAACTACCACACAGCTACTCATCTCATAACCATCCCCAGGCAGATCTGGGTTGGCTTATTCTCCTTAGCAGAGCTTGTCACAGGAAGGCTGGTGCCTGGCCCTTCAGAGAGCCCCCCCACGTGACAGCAAGCTTCCCTGCTTTCGGCAAGTGGTCATGAGAGGGGTAACTGGCTTCCCCAGATTAGTTATGGGATGGAGCCATGAACCACTCCACCCCACTTCCTGTTCTAGTTGAGGGAGTTTTTTTTCCCTGCTCTGGTGTGAGGTAGTGAAATAACATCAGTAAGTTCCCAGCTGCAGTCCCGGGAGGAGACTCACTTCAGTTGCACTAAATCCCACCTCATGCTAAAAATGCACTTGTTGTATTCTGTCCTGTGACACACCTAGGTCTCTCCTGCATAGATGCTGGCAGTAGAGCAATGGTGCAGGCGGGCACTGTGTAGACTTCTTCCTGGCCCCAGGTACAGCTCAGCTGATGCATGTACCTCAGTCCTGATTCACACCTCCTGTCTATTACAGCCCTCAGTCTTGGCGGCAGATTCCCTTGTTGCTCCACTCCTGATCCTTGCCTTAATACAGGTGGACAATGGTGGGGTCATGGTGTGACGTTCACTGATATCAGCAAAACGCTAGGCTGAGAGCCATCTGAGACTCCTCTAACTTGGTTCTGAATACAGATTTGACTCCAGGTTGCTAGGGGTGAAAGTCCTAATCCAATGCACAACCCCCACCCTCCCTGTTCTCATCTCTTACTCTCACATTAGTACATTGCTCCATATTAGGTCTCCAGCTAGGTCAGATCAAGTCACCATTAATCCCAGTTTCAGATACTCCCTCTTCCTGAGACCCTTGCATGCCAAACTGAAGCTCCCAACACAGTCACTCCCTGAGAACATGCCTACTCTCCTCTGGGTAATTCTCTGACAGCCAGTGGTATTAGAGCAACCCCTTGCTTTTCTAAGGGTCTGTCTTCATGAGGGAGTTAACTCTAGCTTTTCACAGCTGTTGCCCCAATCTCATTCCTGTCCACACACAAAACACTGGCTGTTATCTGAGTTTAATGGTGCTTCCCACCAGGGCTAATTAACTCATTGTGAGTCTATAAACTAAAGCCCAGGTCAGGCTTTTACTTTGCAGTGTGGACTGAACCATTTGATTATTAATAGTCCTCCAGCACCTTCCCCCAGTTCCTCCTATGTGCCCAGAAGGAGAGAAAAGTTCTCCCTAAATGTTCTGGGAAAGAATCACACAGCAGCTCAGGTTACTGCCACACAGAAAGCCATGAGCTCTGGCCCTTGAAGTCCTAACAACACACATGGGAGAGTGCAGTACCACTGAGGACACTAACTCAGGTAAGGCCTCACAGCATGGCTGCTCACACCCAGCCTAGGCTAATACTGGGGGCTCTGACCCTGGTGCAAATCACCTGAGCTGCACCAGAGCTCATTAACGAAGGGTCCTTTGGGAAGTTCCCCTCCGCCCTGCTGGTGGCTGCTGGGCTGGTAAGTGAAGTCTGGTTGCCACTGCCTCAGAGCCCCCAGTGGAACGTGCACTACAAGCTCTGGGCCCAGGACACAGTGGCCCAGCTGGATAGGGGTGAATGTGAATGGAGCTGGCATGAGGATACATTTATTTTATTTTGATTTTGTTCCATCTATCCCAATGATGGAGCTGCCTCTCATTGTGTTAGGTTCCCCCACTCTCTCTGTCCCAGCAGACCATTGGGATGAGGTACCAGAAAGCTCTAGAACCACGTACCAATGGGACATTCAGGAGCTCTAGTCTCTCATTGCAAAGGGGTCTACATCATCGTGCCTGGCCACACTGGGCTTGAGACCATGTGTAGAAAGCGAGTTTGGGTTTGGTTTTGGTTTAAGTGCTGTTCCAGCCAAACTGTTTTCAGACCCAGTTTGGTTGGCTGGTGGAAACAGGGCTGTTCTGTGCTCTCCTCTGAGCTTACTTCTCTGCCTGAACCGAACCCCGTTTTGCTGATCCCAAACTTTAGATCAGTCTCCCTTAATCTCGGATCAGAATTCAAAGGAAGGAGCATGTCTGCTGACTTGGAGACAGCTCACAGCCTGGGCTAGGCGTTCATAGCTTAGGCCTGGTCTACACTTAACACATATAAAAAGAAAAGGAGTACTTGTGGCACCTTAGAGACTAACCAATTTATTTGAGCATAAGCTTTCGTGAGCTACAGCATTCGATGAAGTGAGCCGTAGCTCACAAAAGCTTATGCTCAAATAAATTGGTTAGTCTCTAAGGTGCCACAAGTACTCCTTTTCTTTTTTGCGAATACAGACTAACACGGCTGTTACTCTGAAACTTAACACATATGTTAACATAGCTGAGCCACTCAGTGGTGTGAAAAATCCAGACCCCCTGAGCACCATAGCTATGCCAGCCTAACTTCTGGTAAAGGTGGAAGAATGCTTCTGTCAACCTAGCTATTGATGCCTGGGGAGGTTCCTACAGCAATAGAAAACCCTCTTCTGCTGCAGTAGTCTGCAGCACAGCTACAGCGCTGTAGCCAGGCCACTGTAGTGCAGTCATGGCCCTAGTCCTTGGAGGTCACTGGGGGCGTGTGGAGGGGGGTGGGTTTGTGAATTCAGTGGTGGTGACCCCACTCCCACTCCCTTAGCTTCAGCAGTATGCAGTGGGCGGTGCTTTCTCCTGTCTGCAGGTTCAGGCTAGGAAAGCAGCTGAAACAAGAGGGAGGGGGCAAGGTTGAAGAGCAGGAAGGTAGACTGCGGGAAATGTGCAACCCAGAGCTCAGCATGCACCCCCCACCCATGGCCCTTGCTGATACCCTGCATGGCTGCCCGGGGGAGTGGAGTGCTTCCTTGTCACTAGGGTGACCAGATGTCCCGATTTTATAGGGACAGTCCCGATATTTGGGACTTTTTCTTATATAGGTACCGATTATCCCCCATCCCCGTCCCGATTTTTCACATTTGCCATCTGGTTACCCTACTTGTCACATGCTCTTGGTGTAGGGAAGAGTCCATGCACTGTTCAGGTGGCTGAGGCTATCCTACCCTAAACCAAGCCATGAAAGGGATGACTAACCACGTGTCCCCAGTGCCAGCAGGGGAGAGCTGTGCAGGTGAGTGACTGATGCTTCCCAGGGGATTTTAGGCTATTCTGTAACTATCAAACCCTCTGGAGAAGCTCTAACTGGGTTAATGTGTCTCCTCATGCACTACTCCTCTTCTCCCCATTGCCTCCAGCTGGGCTGGGTCAGCCCACATGAGGGGCCGACCTTCCCAGCTGGGCAAAGAGTCCTCAGGGGAACTTCACATTGCTCATCGCCTCCACTCCAGCAGCCACAACTCCTGCCAGAGTGGAGACTGACCCAAAAAGCTGGTGTGTGAATCTAAAGTCAGCCCCGGCTCCACTACGAGCCAGCTCTGCACTTTCCCTCAGAACCATCTCTCCCACATACAGCGTCTGAACTAAACAGTCAGTAGCTGGGCCTTGCTTTGCTCTTCTGGCTTCCCAGGAAACCTCTCCTTCCCTCTCACATTCCTCCAGACTTACCACAGGCCCACATCGACCTTTCAGCCCCTCAAACTGCCCCCTGCTGCTTGGAGCCAGCTGGGATCATCTACCTGCGTGAAAGGCACCAGGAAGCTGAAAATCGCAGCAGGGGACCCTGCTGGCTTCTCAAACACAGCCCTGGCTGCTGGAAGAGCATGTGCACTCCATGGCTGTCCTGAGCAGGGCGAGCAGAAGGCTGTGAGTTTGAGCAGATGCCCACATCCCCTTCCCGTCCCAGTGTCCCCTGAAGCACCTGCTGCTCCCCTGCAGAGGCAGGCCTGGGGAACGTTGTCTCATTTCTCAATTCACTGGGGTAGGGGGCAACCCTGGGTTTCAGTCATGTCTCTGCCACTCACTTCCCATGTGAGCCTGGGTGGGACCCTTCTGTGCGCAGTGCCTTGTTGTCTGCAGCAATGGGATGGCTCCTGCCTTACTGGGGCACTGAAAGGGTTAACAGGGTCTTGTTTCTAAAGCCCACTGGAGTGCTACCCACCCCTTAGCATGACAGTCTGCCCCTCCCATTCCCCTGGCCCCAGAAACTGGGTTTCATTGCCCTGCAGCTGTGGGCAGAAGCAGGCTGGAGACTATTGCCCTGTCTCTTCTTTCCTCCTGAGTCCTCTGGTTCTAGCCACAGCTGGGAAAGCTCATAGTGATGCTGCCAGGCTGAAAACAAAGGGGGATGGGGGGCCAGGAAGGGAGTTCCCCCCAACCCCCTCCCCCTTTCTGCCTTTTGCTTCACACACCCCAATTTATTGAGCTCACTTTAAAGAAAGCCCAAGGAAACTATCTCGGTTGGACACCCAGTTGCACCCGTGGGGGAAGGGATGCAGGGGGTGGGTGGGGGGGGGAGGGGGACAGGTCCTGGTTCACTGGTGCCCAGAGCCTGGCCTCCACACATGCGCCTGCATCCCAGTTTTGGCTGCTGAGAACCTGGGTCTAGCTACCTGGAACCCGGAGGAGGAGGCTGGGCGTGGGGGAGTCCCTTGGCCCATCTGCCTGAGCTCTGGGGAGCTTTCATACAGCTTTGGGGTCTGGCTGGGACTGGCCTGGAAAGGGGCAGGGGTGGACGGTGCGGAGGAGGTCATGTCCGTCCTCCACACTGGCTCGTCCAGCGTGGTGGCAGAGCGGGGAGTGAGGACTGTGGGTGCCAGGCTGCTCAAAGTGGGCATGGGAGCAGGTGTGGAAAACCGCCGGATCTCATAGGTCCTGGCTGTTTTCACAGGCGCCTGCTTGGCTGGGGTGAAAGACAAGCTGGATTGCTGGGCTGGCTGGGGCAGAGGGTTTTGTGTGTTAGCGCTCGAGGGCTCCCCAAAACAGAACATGGCTGACTTTAGCTGGTAGGGTTGGTGGCGCATGAAATCAATGGCCTTGATCCCCGATTTCTGGCTGGGTGCCTTTTTCACTTTGCTCTCTGCTTTGCTAGCCTGAGACTTGCTTGCTGCCAGGGGGTAGAAGGGGGAATGCAAGGGGTTGTAAGCTATTGGGGGTGGGGCACGGATGTTGGAAGAATACTTCCAGGATGATGGTAGAGAAGGCGTGGGTGAGGGTGCCCTGGGCTTGGAGCCTGGCCTCGGTGCTGCCTCCACCACAAACTTGTCCATGCGGCTCTGTCGCTTGGCAAAAAGCTCTGCCCCTTTGCCCTTCAGCTGTGGCATGTCATGGGCACCATTTACTAGTCCAACAGAGGCACCTTGCTGCTGAGGCTTAGGAGCCACTGGAGGAGGGGCCTTGAACTTGCGGCCTGAGGACTGCATGAAGTTGCAGGCCTCAGCTCCTAGGCTGAGGAAGTCCTCCTCAGGCCCAGACTCAAAGCCTGCCCCTGGGTGGTCGCCTTTGGGTTTCTCATCCAGGTTCTGCACCAGAGACAGAAGCTCGGGGTTGGGTGAATTCTTCTTCTTCTCTTCTATGGTATTGAACATGGGCTTTTTGCTGCCCCGCCGGCGAGCTTCCTGCAAGATGCCAGTTCGGGGGGCTGGCACTGCAATCCGCTGCTCCCTGGATGTTAAGGGCTCAGAAGCAGGTTGTGGAGTAGCTGGGGAGACAATAGGATATGGCTGGCTTGGTAGCAGAGAGCCGCTCACCACGCTGGGTTGCTGTGGTGCTGGGCTGATATACAAGGAGGAAGAAGCTGTCCCTCGTGGTTGAGGTGTTGCTGCAGCCCCCGCTGGCTTAGAGGGAGTGGTTAGAACAATGGAAGCCGAGGAGGTCATGGCTGGGTTTGTGGGTGTCTTAGTCTCAGGAGCACTTCCGCCTGCGGCTGGCTGTGGTACCCCTGGTGGTGTTGGTCTGCCTGGTGCTGGAATATACAAAGACGTTGAGGAGCTTGCTGGACCATTGTGAGCCATCGCTGGTGCGGTGGGAGGTGGCACAGGAGTTACTGGTGAGAAAGGTGGAGCAGTGGTGCTCTGCTCCCCCAGACTGCCACCACTTTTCTTGGGAGCCAAAGGCCTGAAGATGACGGAGGAAGTCACAGGACGGTGCCCCGAAAAGCCAGGAGTGAAGGGCCGTGCCGATCTGTTGAAGAGGCCCTCTGTGCCTGGAGACGACTGGGCACCTCCTCCAATGCTGCCCGGTGGAGACTGGACCTGAGCAGAGGTAGATGACGGCAGCTTGCTGGATAATTGCACTGCTTCCACATGGATACTCAGTGGGGCCGTGTTGGCCTTCTGTGGAGTAGGCACTTCCCCGTTCACCATGCTCTGCTTTGGCACGACACCTGGTGGTGGCTGATGGCTCTCTGGCTTCTCAGCTGGAGTTTTCTCCACCGTATACTGACCAGCCCTCTCCCTCTGCTGCTCAAATAACCGTGCTCCTCTGCCAGAGGCTTCACTCAGACCCTGCTGCGTCTGCCCCAGCTGCTGCTCAGATTCCAGCTTGGGCTTTTCAATGTCCAGGTAAGTGTTGTCCCAGTCTGAGTGGTTGGTTAAGCTTCGGGCATCTGAGAAGCCTTCCTCATCAAACTCTGACTCGCTGGTTGGGAAGACACCATCCTCCTCCTCATAACAGCGGTCCTCGTCAACGCTCCCAAAGCTGACCAGGGTGTACTTCTTAGCCCTCTGCCTGCGCTTCTTGAACATCAGCACGCCCTTGGAGTGGGGGTTTGGCGCATCTGTCAGCAGGGACGCAATCGTCCTGCATTTGGTTTTGGCTTCTTTTACATTCTTCTCCTGTGTGCTCTCACTGCGGTGCAGCTCTGCAAAGGACAAAAGGAGGCAAGTTCAGGGCTCCGTAGAGGACTGGGCTTACAAAGCTTTGGCAACAACTGGACTGAGTGTTTCTGGTGTCCATACAATGAGAGTCACTCCCACCTCACCCTGACGAGAAAGTTAGGAAAAAATGACTTGAACATAATGAAAATGGCAGCCCTCTCTTTTTCCATGCACACACTGTGGGACGGGCTTCCCCACCTACTGCCAGGGACCCTCACCTTTCAGACAGACAGCCTGTGGCAGGGGTCAGAGATGGCTCAGTCCCTGTTACCTGCTCAGACCCAGAGCTTTCTCTCAGCAGAGATGGCCAAGGGTCTGACTGAATTTCCTGGGGGGTTGTGTTGTGGATATGTATCTGCAGAAAATTGTTCCTGGTACTCATCAGGACATTTCACACTGAGTCTAAATCCCCCACTTTGCAATTTGCACTGGGGTGGAACAGCCTGTGATCACCCCTGGGAAGCCCTGCTGGGAGGGCTGGTCAGAGACATGTCCCTCCCTTTTCAGAGCCCTGCTTCCTGGGGGAAGCGGGGATAAGCAGTCCCAGTGCTCCCCAGAATGCAGCAACCACTAGGGTGCGCAGGCCCCGCCCAGCTGTGCAAGGGCAGGAAAGCATCTTGCTCCCACCTCCCTAGCCCCTCGTGGGATGCTTGTGAACTGGGCTGGATAGTGTCAGTGCTGAGTGCTGTGGGCACATTCACTGCCCCCTGAAAGGTGTGATAAGGACAGCACAAAACCTGCAGCCGTGAGAGCAATGTTTCACGCTCTCGCATAACCTCTTGCCTGTGCCCAGCCAGGACAGAGTCACTGTGCACATGAGCAGGAATCCCAGCTGCCTGCCCTTCAGAACTGGTCAGCCAGGCCAGAAAGAATCCTTTTGCACAGGCTCTCCCATGGCCTTCGCTGCTGGAAAAGCCAACACCTGTCGCGGCCTTGGCTGAAAAACACAGGCTAATCATTTTCCACCGCCTCTGCCAGCCTGCTGACCGCAAACCCCATGGGATGGGACAGTGTGTTCTCTGCCCAGTGTGCAAGGTGAGGGGGGAGGTTTGAAAGAGTCAAGGGTGAACCCAAGGGCAGCTGTGAGAAGAGAGTTCACAGGCACGACTAGAGACTCGTACTCTGAAACCAACAGAAACCTGAAAGAAAAAATAATTCCCAAGTGATTTCTCATTCCTTTTTCTTGTTCCTGACCCTTTCCACTGGGGGAAAAGACCTTTCCCTGCTTCTTGTCTGCCCTGCATCCCTTTAACAGCAGCCTCTGCACTTCAAGCAGCACAGGAGACATGACAAAGATGCTCTCAGTAAGCTTCCACTCGCTCGTCAATAAACGGCATAGCGCTTTCCCCTGTCCTTCGAGCCCCAGCATTCCTGTGGCAGAGACACAACATGCAGCCCTGCTAAGGCGACCCCCACTTGATCTAGTGGGGGGTTGGGGGATGGGAATAGGAGAAAGCACCAATGTACTGCTGAGGAATGCTGCTAGTTCTCCCCAGGACCTGAGCTGTGCAGCCTCACAGATCTCACCTTGGGCCACTTTACCGCAGGGCATTGTTGCAACAGGGAAGAACAGTTGTGGCCAAGTTAGCCCACAATGGGGTGGGCAGCAGCAGCCACAGAGCTTACCTAACCATGATACCAATGAATCCTCTTGGGCCCTCTGAAACTCCCCTGGGGCCGTAGTTTCCCTCTCCCACTTCCCGCCCTCAGGCAGCCCATCTGCAAAGGTCACAAAGCTGTAGCATGTGTCATTTGGTCCCTGCGGCTCCAGGTCACCCCATTCAGGAATATCATCCACTCCCACCCCAGGCTTTTAAAACAGGCTCTGGAATGTCAGAGGGGTTGTGATGCTAGGAAGCTTTCAATAAATCCAATGAAAGACCCTTCACCAGGCTTTCCCTGGAGCCATTTCATAACAAACATCATGGCTCCAGGTTAGCTAAAGCAAGGCAGCTCCGGACAGAGATCCAACAAGGAAAAGGTCAGCTACTTCTCACTCCGTACACAAGAACCAGCCCTCTCTCCTTGCACCTAGAGGGCTGGAAATAATGAACAAAAATGCCAGTGTGCTAATGGGAAAAGAACGGGTGGCCCTTTTGCACTGGCATGTGCTGAGCTAGGAACCCCTCCCCACACTCTTACAGAGTGGGTCAGTTCGGCATCATTGAACCAAGATGCGTAGTTCACATCCTTTCAGTGCAACTTGGTGCTCCCCTGGCGTTGCCCTTCTGGATTCAGCTGTGGGGGAGCAGGGCCACAGGGCTACAGTCATAACTCAGTTTTGTCTCAGGAAATGAGTCCATCTCAAGCGCACATTAGGGGAGAGCAGTGAGATTTCCCTCACAGAGCAGACCCCCACTGGCTAGTCTCACTCACGCACCCTGTCAAAGGAACCCTGCCTGGCTCAAGTTCTGGTTCCAAACTTGTTGGGGTGAAAAGCAGTGCCCCAGAGATGAATCCAGCCTCATTGTCCAGAAACATTTGCCCTGGGGGCTGTGAGGGGGAGACTTCTGGCATTGGCAAGCCGTGGCTAAGGAGCAGTGCCTTCACATGCTAAGGTCTGTGTAGGCACAGGTGGCAGCAGAGCATCGGGAAGGATCTTAGCTCTGGAGTTTGAGACTTGCAGACCCCTACTAGAGGAGGCTTAAAGGCAGCCAGAGTGCGATTCCACCAGCACTGGGCCCTGGCCTCAGTAACAATACCCAGATGCAGCTCCCTACCAGTCACAAGTTTGCCCCCAGCATCTCGCATCGTTCCAAAATTCCAGCCTCCTCAGTGTTCATTAGAACTAGACTCCCTGTGCTTTGAGGTTCCCTGGCCCTTTACAGACAATTGCTAAGTCTCTTCCTGACACTCTGGCTTCCTGCCCATCCCCCAGTTCCTACTCCACAGCTCACCAATAGAAAGCACTTTATTCCTTGCACTTTAATTCCCTCCCCCCCCTCCCCCAATGTTCAAAGTATTCAAGTCACAAAGGCCAACAGCAATTTGAGACAAATGGGAGAGGGAAATGCTCCTCTGGTGACGCGTTAAAGTTTGGCTAGGAGAGCAGAGGAAGGAAGGAAGTCTGTACCTGCATAGGGCTGATCCAAGCTCTTGAAAGCAGCGTCCAGGCCTGGAGACTTGGGCATGTCACAAAGTCCATTTAACTCACAGCTCTCCATAGAGAGAGAAGCAGAGTGGCTCTCGGCTGGAGCAGAACCAAAACTCTCAAGCGCCAAGCCCTTTGCTATCAGCTCTACAAGCCTTTTAAAGCCTCTCTTTTGTCTCTTAGGCATCTCTACTAAGAGCCGTGAGGTCATGTTCTCTATTTTTATCCTCTGTGCTTCATCACTGGGCAGTGTGATGGACATTGTCACCTGTCACTTAAACACTTTCCCCCTCCTGTCTCCTCCCGCTGTAGCCTGGGTTTAAAAATAAGAAAATATGCTGGCTACCAGCAATCTTTGTGCAGTGCAAGCGTCAGACAATAAACAGTTTTTCCAGCCCCTCATTGTAAAGCGTTTAGAGCAAAAGTACTTGTTTCTTTCCATACCCTTGGGTTGCTGATGTCTCCTGTCCCACTGTGGGGAGCAGGAGAAATGCACACAAAAGGAGGGGGTCCATTCAGCACAAACACTTAGGGACCACGCAGTTCTCAGATCAAGACAAGGAGGAAGAGATATGTGGAGGAGAGATTCTCTCTTCCTGTGTGTGTCACTTTTATTCTATGTTCTAGGAGACCCAATCCAGGACAGGGACTCAGGGCTGCATTGACAGAGGTGTGTTAGGGTTACTGAGTGCCGGTACATTCATGGTTGAGTTGAGTATGGGAGATCCACAACTGGACTGCAGAGGATGTTACCTACAGGGCTAAGGTTTGTTGGCACATCCATATGAAGGGCTGAGGAATGGTATTAGAAGGTGGGCACTGGATGCAAAGACTGGGGTGCATTGACAGCTCTGTGGATGCCTAGCACCAGAGAGAGGAGGGAGGAAGCAAGACAGAATTGTGTTTGAATGATGTGAGGACCTGGGGATGAGTAGTGGTGGTGGGCAGGGAGTGATTTGCAAGGCAGAGCTGGAGTTTGTTTTCAAACCTATGTGGTAGAGGCTTACACAGCATCTCTCTACACTGTGTCTAGCTGGGTTTGTACCAACAGCTCCTCTTGTCTGTGAGCAATAAAGTCACTCTCAATTAAACCCCACAACTTTTTAAAAGTGGCCTTGTCAGGTGATCCTCCCTTCATAGTAGCCAGAGATTTAGAAACACAGAGCCCCATGAATCAGGCAACTCCTCTCCAGGGTTAGCATATTTAGAGTAGAGGCTGGCCAGTGAAAGTCTGACATTGCCCCTAAAATCCAATAGTCACTGCCTTACTACAGTGAATGGGAGCTCGGCAGGTAATATCCCAGAAGAACAGATCTGCTCTTGCACACATGGGCTCTCAGAGTGTGATAAAACAAAAGAGTTTAGTCATCTTTCATTATGAATATTTATACATTCAAGAATAAAATACCTGAGGGAAAAGTCCTATAGAATCTAGTAGAACATGAAAAAAGAAAAGGAGTACTTGTGGCACCTTAGAGAGTAACAAATTTATTTGAGCATAAGCTTTCGAGAGCTACAAGCTGTAGCTCACGAAAGCTTATGCTCAAATAAATTTGTTAGTCTCTAAGGTGCCACAAGTACCCCTTTTCTTTTTGTGAATACAGACTAACACGGCTGCTACTCTGAAACCTAGTAGAACATAGTAAAATTATTTTAAACCAACCTATGGCTGTCTATAGCAGGGATATCACTCTATCACATTTAAACAAGCTGTTTAAAAATTCTACAGGAAGGATATAATTCCATTAAATTCTATAGGTTTTGAGGGTAATTTCTATAGAAACCTTTTAGTTAATTTCTATAGAATGCTGATTTGTCCCTATTACATTCTATAGAAATAATCCATAAGGGGTAACTTATGCAATTAGGCACTGATCCTAGAAAATCTCATGC